TTTTTTTCACTACAAAATGGCCCTTCATTCATATCCCTCTTTTTTGTTTAGTTTTGCCAGAGATGGGTATTCCATTGCCATTCAAATATTGTAGGTGTGTGAATTCAGCAAAATAATCCAATATAGTCCAATGGGCCATAGTAGTAGTGGGTTATCCATAAGACTGGCAATGTCAGAAGTTGTTTGTCTTTTTAAACATGTCTGTGGCCATACCACATTCAGCACATCTGATCTCCTCTTTTAAGCATTTGCTTCTGAAATTTGGGTGGTGGACCTGAAATTGGGTGCATGATGATGTAGAATATAAGCCCGTACTTCAAAGCCCTGATTGATCTTCCTGAACACTGATACCAGGATGGCCTTGCTGTAGAATATCTTCCCTTATATGACTAGTACAGAAATCAATTCATGCTGCTTATTTGGGAAGATAGGGACAGTGCCTGCCATTCTTGATTGAGAGAATGCTGTTATTCATTTGCAGATGAAACCAACTTGCCAGCGGATATCCCTAGTTATCTGTCATCTCAGGGGACATTAGCTGACAGGCAGGATGGGTATGTCTCCTCAGAAAGTGGAAGCCACCACCAGTTCGTCACTGCTTCGGGAGGCGGGTTTTTCCTGCCACAACATGAAAGTACTGGTAAGTGTTTAAAATGAATGACATTTGGGGGAAGGGGCTGACAAGATAGCTCAGTGGACTAAAGCACCTGCTTAGGCAAGCGCAGGGACGCAGGGACTGCGGTTTGATCCCCAGGGACCGCAGTTCAATCCCAGCACCCCCAGGGCAGGCTGAACAGACCACAGAGTCTAAGCGTAATGGTGTACGCCTGTAATCCCAGTGCTGAAGAAGCTAAAACAGGAAGCTCACTGTGAGTCCTCACTGCATAGTGAGACCCTTTAACAACCAAATACATTATTGGGCTATATTTTGTTTTAGAATCATATGATAAAATATTCCAATGTAAGACCAATTTTGACCAGAAATTGATGCATTAATATTTAGGACCTGGCCCAAGATCACTAAAGAAGCCGAAATCACATAGATACCTATTCTTTTAAATAACAGAAAAAAAATATTTTTGTTTGTTTCTGACAATAAAAGAAAACAATGATGTGAAAATAAAATTGAATTTCTTCATAAAATGTAAGATTTTCTATGTATTATGAATGCTTCTTGCCTGGGCTGTCCTTCTTCCTTAAATGATATCTGTTATGTAAGTAACTCTATGCATAGTCTTAAAACACAAGTGACTTAAAGTGATTCTGGTAGAGAAATTGAATTCTACCACTTGCTTTAGGTGCTGCATGGATTTGCAGATAGGGATAGAAGCAGCATAATGCAAGAGCAGGCTTGGGCTGAAACTGTTCCCATGAGCCTCGGCCATTCCCCGTGCTTCCTGGGTAGGTGGTTATGAAGATGAACTCAAAAGGAAAAATTACACAGTGCTTGCCACATGCCAAGCACTCAAGCAGTGGACACTGTTGATGTTGTTTTCAAACATTTTACCATCTTTTATCACAAGCCTGTATTATTTGCTCTGTGCCAGACTTCAGAATTGGGGGTGGGGTGGGGAACGTATTTGTTTTCAGTTTCATGGGTTAGATATGGGTGAGATAAACTATTACAAAACAATTGCGAACTAGTTGGCAAGGTAGTGACAGATGACGTAGCAATAGCGTTCTGTTTGGACTCACTCTGTGGCAAAGAACAGAGACCCAACCTCAATGAAATGTATTGGGGTTTTGTGTAAACCTAAAGGGCTGGGACTGGGACATGGTAGTGGCAAATGGCCTTGGCACTGGGTCCAGAGAAGGATCTGCTCCTAAAACAACTCTGCAGGCCTCTGGCATGGCTGAGTCTGTTTCTCTCTTGGACTACCACCCACCCTCTGACCAATCACTTTCTGCCTCCCAAGCACATGGTCCAGCAAGACATCCTTAACCTTTAAAGACACCACTTATCCTCGGACTGCTGTGTCCACTATTAATGGGTGTATCCTTTCTGTGTGGTTTAATTTAATAACCCATGAAATGATTTTATTTAATTTTTTCTGAGCTCATCTTTGAGCCGGGAATTGACAAGTCATCGATCATGTGCCAGTCCCTCATTCTGGTCATCTGTGACATTTCATAGGAAGGAAGCAGTGCCAAGAGTTGTGGTTGGAGCTTTGGCTGCTTCAGCTGCAAGGTCCGCACACAGATCTGTTTCCCTTAGCAACCAGATGGAGCCAACAGTGCGGCTGACACTCCCAGCTTAGTGGTTAAACAAGACCTCTTTGGATGAACCGTCCCAAATTTGCTCAATCGCTACTACATGAGTTGACAGGAAAAGCCTATAAACTTCCACAGTTTTTTTTTCTTTTGTACTATATTCTTGCCAAATATTCACCTATAAATATAGGAAATGCTAAGAGGCAACTTGAATAGTACTTAAATAATGTACATTCACTGACTCAGATTTGTGTTTTAAAGGAGCCTGCAATATTGACAACAGCAGTGAAGCCGATGTGGAAGCTGCCACAGATCCATTCCTCTGTCCCTTTTTGGGTTCCTCAGGCCCTGTGTATTTGAAGGGGGGCGTGTATGGCCCCGATCCCTTTGAAGCCTATCATACAGGTATGTGACAGGCCTGATTTCTTACCTGATTCTATTCTGTTTCCTAGAGAGACTTAGAGAAATGCTCACTGCTACTCTTTTTTTCTGATACGATTCTCAAATTTAAAAGGTTGCAGCACTGACCCAAGGACAGCGTTAGTGGATCACTATGAGCCCAATTACGTAAAGAAAAAGGGTTGCTACCCACGTTCGCACCCCACAGAGGAGTCCTGTGAGCGGAGCCTCAGTGGCCTGGGGTGGCCTGCCCATGTGAAGAAGCTCGGGAGCTCCAGTTACTGTCCAAACGAAGGACCTCTGACGAAAAATCTGTATCTAAATAAGAACTCTTCCGATTTTAGTTCAGGTCTGGAACCAGCACCAGTTACTTCAACTAACCCTTTCATGGGTAAGTTTATTAAGTTATTAGGTACCTTCTTTCCAGATGCATGCCGTAAGCTCTGTGTGGAGCAGCAGCAACAGCTTTGAATATAAAACTGGTGAAAAAAGTTTTTTTCTTAACGCATCACTGTGATACTCTACTGGTTAATATAAATGCCTCTAAATGCCAAGTCTGAGGTAGGGATTTTACTGGATTATATAGTCAATCTATAACTAAGCCACAGGAGCCTTCTGGGTAACTCCGTGTGTGGCATCTAGAAGACAAGAGTTTGGGGAATGACTTAGGATCTGAGCTTGTCAGCCATGTGGAAAAAGTGGTTTTGGGCTCTAGCAGCCTTTGGGGTGGAGTTGTGTGTGCTGCATGGTTGTGGTTTCGTATGTCTGGTGGCTTCTAACTGAACCCGCGGCTGGAAGGCTGGAAAACAACATCCTACCTAGCAACCGCGGCTTACTCAGACAGGCAGCCCTACCTTTGGCATAGGAGGCTGCCGGAGCCTGGAAGGCCAAGTGGGTAGTGTTAGGCACAGGCTGGCACTGAGATTAGACCGTGGGGTTTTTGGTCTAGTGCATGGGAACAATGGAAGGGAAGCACACAGGTCCTTGTTTCATTGAACGGAACAATATGGGTATACGGCCATGACCTGGCTTGGTTTTTTTTTTTTTTTTTTTTCTTTTTAATAAAAAGTAAAATGAAAATTACTTTGCTAAGCTTTTAAGAAATTTTATGTTTTGTCACAATACAATCACTTAGATTCTTCCTTAAAAAAAAATGTGCTTGGTAGGATGGGGGGGAGACTTTGAATCCACTGAGTATGATTGTTGTAGTGAAAGAACCAAAGACAGGATTATTCTGAAATAAACTTTCTATACTCAGGTATAGTTAACTTGAGTTTTATTATACAAACTCTGTTCCTGGAGAATTATTCCACAATTGTAAAGAGAATGTGGAAAGGAGCAACAGAGTTACACTGGAGAACTTCAGGAGCTTCCTTTTCCAACAGTCCGTACTCCTGAAGGGTGTGGGAAGTGATGAAGTGTGTGCGTTTAGTTAGGTGCCATAAATCACAGGGGTGCAGGTTCTGCAGCACGTGCAGCAGCACCAGTACAGAGACCTGAGTACCATAATGGGGGGCTGCAGAAAGGCTTGCTCATGTTCGGGGGGGAGTCAAACGCTTCTTTATATGCATTGGACTTTGTTGATGTATATGCTAGCAAGAGGACCCAGTTGATAAAAAGTTTTGTTCTGTTTTGTTTTTCCTTTCAGGGACATTTGGAAAGCCTCTGAGAAGATCTCACTTAGACGCCTTTACAAGCTTTGGACAACTGTCAGATTGTCAGCCGAGAGCCTTTCCCTTAAAAACTCCTTCTTCCCTGGACGACTTGGACTCTGATTCAGAAGATGAGAGAGAAAGGACAGATTTTCAGGAAGAAAAGCATACACGTACCTATAAACAGACTTTAGAAAACTATAGGACTCCAAATTTTCAGTCTCATGACTTGGACACATAGACCGAAGGAGACCAAAGAAAACTTTTAACATACTACCTCAAGTGGACTTTTATTTAAAAGAGAAAGAATCTTATGTTTTTAAATGGAGCTATGAATTTTAAAAGGATAAAATGTCTTATTTATACAGATGAACCCAAATTACAAAAAGCTATAAAAATTTTATACTGGGAGTAACTTTCATATAAAAATACCTTTTAAAGTATTTTATAACTTTGTTTTATGCAAAAAAAAATCTTATGTAAATTAATGGCATAAATTCATGACAATTTTATGTATTTTTATAATACCAGATTTCTTTTTATTGAAAATAAGTACTAAAACCTTTTAAATAATACTTGTCTTGTACCTTTTTTGAATAGAGGTTACTTATTTTTATTTTGCACATTACATTTAATAAAATGTGTCATTTTAATGCCAAGCCCCATTTATATAATTTTTTTTTGTTTTTCAACATATTTTAGAGTTAGACCATGTTATCACTTCTCAAATTGGTGTTCATATTTAACCCACTTAAAGTACAAGCAAAACTTTCTGTGCTGCCCGCCTGCCTCCCAGGACTTAAATCCCACTGTTGCGTGTGAAAGCACGCTTCGATGAAAAGGACCTGCGGAGATTTCAGGTACATTAATTTATTTCTAATTCTACAAGCAAAAGACAGTGTATTGTTATGTTGTGGTGTGCCATGGTGTAATGCTCACTGCTTTAATCACTGTTCAATCTAGGTCTCCTTTTGTGGCCCGGTGTCTTCACCTTATCCAAATAATTTGACACGTATCATCCTTTGTATTGCAGCAAGAGAGAGGTTTATTGTACATTTCTACAGCTAGAAAGCTATGGAAGAGGTGAATTGTAATCCCTGTTCCAGGTCATAATGAGTTGCTAGTAGAGTTCTTGTCTGTTATGGAAATAGTACTTCTGAGCTGTTCTGACACTTTAAAAAAAATAACAAAATGTTTTCCTAATTTGATCATCCTAGCTCCATTTGTTAAAAACTTAAGTATCAAGTCAATTACTAAAAAACTTAAAACATTTCTTTTAAACAATATTCAGTGAAATTATTGCTACATGACAGGCCTGTGTACACAGAGGAAAACATCATTGAATTTTCAAAGCAAGGTAGCACTGTTCAGAAAAATTAAGTGGAATAAACTTACTAAGCTTAATAGGTTTAAACATTAAACATATTTCTTTAATAAATCCTTATGCCTATGTGTAGTTTAAAGAAAACCCTCTTGCGTAGGATAAATTAAGTTGGCAAGAAAAGAGTTAATACAGTTTACCACACTGAGCATTAAAAAAAATCTAAATTTGAAGGTGGGAATTTCTGCTTTATCAGTTCTTCAAACCAAGTGGGAAGCAGCTGCTGGATAGGCAGTCTTCTCAGAGGCTAGTTGGGGGCAAAGTTTTCCTGTTTAGTGAGCTTAGATCCCTTTTGCTTGGGGGTCAGGAGCATGAACCCAGATTGTAGTAAGGTTTTTCTCCCTTAATTGAGGCACCAGAGCCCAGTTGGGCCTTTTCTTGGGCTCCTAGTGACATAAAAACTGAGAAGTTGTTCTGTGTGCTTTGGCCCTGTCATACTGCCAGATATTTGAAACCTTACTGTTAAATTTGTCTTCATTATTGTCAGATGTGAGATGCAGACATCATTTGGGGCATTTGAATGATTCTGAACTTCTAAAGATTTAATTATTCAAGATTTTAGCATCAAGTTTAAATCAATGCCTGAGATATAAAACTTCGATTCATCCATGTAGTCTTATCCTTTGCTGTATTTATGTGTTGTTACCCACGGAGTATGTGTAATCTTAATTGTCTGGGAAAAGAAGAACTTGATTCTTCTTTGGCTTTTTCAGAAAAAGAAAATATATGGCTTGGGGAGATCGCTCAGTAGAATAAGTGCTTGCCTGGCAAGTGCAGGGTCCTGAGTTCAAGCCCCAGTACCACTGGAAAAAAAAAGAAAAGAAAATATATAATGTTGAAACTTTATGCTGAATTAATGTAATTAGTACATGTGAAGCTATACTAAAATAACTTAGATTTAATGGAAAAAGCAAAATGTGGGTTAATGTTAAATCATTTATTATTTGTGATGCTGAAGATTAACCCAAGGTCTTGTGCATGTTACACACACTCTAACACTGAGCTACACTTCCAGTCACCCAGTCACTGTGCTTGTTTGTTTTAATCTTTTATTTGTTTACTTACTTGGTATAGGTCTTGCTACACAGCTCAGACTCATAGTGATCCTCCGGTCTCAGCCTCCCCAGCTCTAGGATTACAGGCGTGCACCACCATGCCCGGTCTTGGTGGCTGGCTCAGTGTGGGGCAGGCAGGGCCTGCAGTTCTGAGGATCAAACTTGGGTCCTTGTGATTGCCAGGGAGGTGCTTAGACTGCCAAGCTATCTCCCTAGCCCCATTACTTTGTTTTTTGATGATGAAAAACACATCAAAGTTTCAGTTTAATTTTTCTCCTTTTCCTGATATGACACTGCTTAATCTATAACGTATTTTCATAGAAAATCATAGTTTTTTCCTGAAGTCCATTACATATACTATAGATAATTACTATGTATCATATTAGAGAAACATTGTGGCAACATTTTATAAAAATTAATTACTGAGTTTGTTTAATTTTCATAGCCTTCCTATGGAAGAAATCCAAAATATATTCCTCAGGATAGAACTCATAATACTTTAAAAATAGTGATAGAAAAAAGGAAAGTAGTTTTTGGTATCTGTCACACTTGAGGGGGTTTAGTCCTTTTGATAATATGATAAAACTAACTTATAGGCAGTGTTACAATAAACATGCTACATTGGTATTTTTCAAAAAGATTAAGAACCAAATGTCATTGTAAAACGTTCGGTCTGTCCTTCCCATTCTTGGTATCTGTTACGATTGGATTTATGCAATAGGATGATTTAGAACTTACTGTATTTTAAAGATGGCATTCTATTAACACACTGAGTAACACAATGTTCTGACCCTCTGCCTGACCGCCCCCCCAAAAAAAATTTAGACTTCAAAGCAGGGTACAGTTTCTTCATGAGTTGAATAATTTCAATCCTTCAGAAATAATCCAGTTACCAGACAGATACCATATCCAGTTAACATATCTTTTTCATGAGATATTTCCATAACAGTTTTGAGAGATTTCAGATTTGGCTAACAATGACACAGAGATTTTAGTTGATATATTTTTGTTGTTGTTTTTCTTGGTGGTGGTGGTATTATGAAATGAATCCAGGACCTTGGTACTGAGCTGCATACCTAGCCCTGTATTAGCAGTAGTATTTTATTTTTAAAAATTTGAGATAAGCCTTGCAAAATTGCCAACACTGGGCTTTAGTTTATAATCCTCCCTCTTCCGCTTCCCAGAATGCTAGAATAATAGGCCTATACCAGCACACTGGCTTGGCATTCTGTTTAATGGAGGGTTTCTCCCCATATATTTAAGGAATTACCCCAATATTTACAACCATTTTTTTTAAAGAAATCTGGTGGTTGAATATCTTTTGATAAATGTGTTTGATTTTACACCACTTACCAACTTCATTATTACTGCAATACTCACAGAGTTTGGTACCAAAGATCAGACTTCTTTATCTGAATTCCGTATCCTCCCAATACGTTAGATATCCTTAAACAGAAGAAAAATTTAACCAATATTCTCATGCAGCTTTTTATTAGAGCTGCAATGTTTAAGTAAAGAACTTGTGAAAATACATTTTGAAGAATAAAACCAAGGAACAACTGTTACAAGTCAAGTCTTGGTTTTTTTCCTACAGTTATTTTCTCTTTTCCATATATCTTTGTTGCATATCATGGTTTAACAGAGAACATTTTTCTTAAATCAGGTTTGAGCACAACACCTAAAACCTTCCTGAACTTTTGTTTCTTGTTTCACTCAAGTGTGTTTTTATGGTATAGGGATTGAATTTAGGGCCTCCCACATGCTTACAAGCTAGGCGAGAGCCTGCCTCTGCCATCTCCTCCATCCTGTTGGTTCTTTGGAAATTTCTATACCTTTCTGTTTTCATTAAAGCCCAGTGTTGGCAATTTTGCAAGGCTTGTCTCAAAATTTTAAAAATAAACTACTACTGCTAATACAGGGCTAGGTATGCAGCTCAGTACCAAGGTCCTGGATTCATTTCACAATACCGCCACCACCAAGGGAAAAAAAAAAAAAAACAACAAAGATATATGCACTAAAATCTCTGTGTCATTTTTGGTCAAATCTGAAATCTCTTAAAACTGTTATAGTAATAATCTCATGAAAAAATATGTTCTGTCTGGTAATTGGATATTTCTGGAGGACTGAAAGTATTCAACTCATATATCTCCTGTCTACAACTAGAGATTTTAAATTGGGCCACACACTCTTTGGCAAAGCGTTTTTATATAGACTTAGTTGTGATTTTTGCCTAGGAGATGTGAAAGTGAGTGAATGGATTCTTGTCCTGATTGTCAGGTTTGAGATCAAGCTTCTGGGAGCACAGTGCGGTAGGTGGGTAGCATAGTAGGCCCTTGTAACCGGCACTCATTTCCCATCTGAGATGCTCGCTCCCTAACTGAACTACCTGGAAGGGTTGCACGCACCTCACTAGCCAGGCCCAGCGCTAAGCTGATTATCTATTTCTGCAAGCTGCCTCCGAGGACAATCCGAGACCTGGCACACCCTTGTTCAGTCACCTCGGCTCCAGCTCCTGTTGATTTGCACCTGAATTCTTTCCAGGTCGTCCGCATTCTCCCACTTCTCCCGTGGCCACAGCGAAAGTTCAGAGCCTTATCTGTCCCTGGCAGCAGTGTCGTAACTGCTGCTCTCATGCTGTGTCTATTCAAGTCATTGTCTTCACTGATACCAGAAATGTTTTTCAAAAATAGATATGAATGGAACACCTACCTGTTTAAAAACTGTAACGGCTAACTTCAAGTCCTTCTTACAGTATGTAAAATCTTCACAAGCTAAAGATTCCAGCGCTCGCTAAGCCCCACACCATTCCCAAATTTTTAGCCATACGGTAGGCTTTTATCAGCTTCATGCGCAATGCCATTTGAAAACTAAATAGCCTTATGCATAACATGACCTCATCTTTGTTTCAGCAAAACACTGAATGAGTGACTGCTCTTCTAGGTAATGTCTTATAAGCTATGCCTATGATAACACTGTTAAAATAACTACTACCCTGCCCTCAGGAAACCCCTAGTCAGATAGGCAAGAAAATTGTCCTGAAATGTATTTCTTCCCCTCATCTCTCCGGTGATAGAATATAGCTCCTCTTTCAAGACCAAGATGTTGGTTTTATCCTGAGCATAACAGCTTTTCTCCACAGAGCTCTGTGTATAAACTCTCATAAAATCACTGAG